GGTACACCGACAGATGAGCCTGCCGATATATGAACCATTGATATCATTCGCCCTTAGTAAATCAAAGAATGGATGATACAGAACAATATGAAAATTACCCTTTCTGTTTTTTCTCTTTTTTGCGCATATTTTTGCTCAAAATAAATTTGCTCAAAATTTTTTTGCTCATTTTCTTTTGCTAAAAGTCGTTTTGCTCAAATTATTTTTGCTCATATTCGAGGTATTCACGTGACGGGGGCTCAAATATCAATGGTTCATATATCGGCAGGCTCATCTGTCGGTGTACCGGATGCCATGAGTAATCGTTTAACTTTACACTATCGTTTCTCTGCGAGTTAGCTGTCCCTCTACGGTGTTTCTTTATGCCAACGGGTAAATCTTATAACAAAGGCAAGCGCCAATGAGTCTGGGAGCCTTACTTGTGATTTGTTAAAAAAGTCAATGGCTAAATCATATTGATTCATCTTAAAGTGACATAATCCAAGATGGAAACAGAATTTACTGTTATTATTTGAAATTTCAATAATATTGTTCATTGTTGATAATTTCGACCAATATTTCATCGCTTCATCATAATTTTTTCCATTTTCATACAATAAGGCTAATGCTTCATACCTGTAAACAGTTGCATCAATATTCCGATCAAAGTGATAATTTTCATATAATTCTAACAATTTTAGATAATCATTAATTTCTAATTTATCTTCTTCTTCTTTGTTTTTATAACACTTTTCAATCAGATAAACCAATTCATCACTTTTTTCTTCATTTTTTGGTATTTTATTTTGTTCTATTTTGAATAAATCAAAATAATAATCAATAGCTAAGTTATATTGTTTTCTTTCAAAATAAGATTTTGCAAGAAAATAATAAAATTCATAATCATAACTTCTATCAATTATTTGTAAACCCATTTGACAAGATTGAATGCATAGATCAAATTGTTTATTTAAATAATAAGTAACAGAAAAAAGAAAATAAAGTTGTTTATAATCAGGATGTTGTAATGGTAAACATTTTTTTTTAATTTCATAAGATTTTTTAAAATATTTAATTGATTCTGTATAATTGTCTAGATATAATAAACTTCGACCCATATTCATCAATCTATTTGATATTGAATTGTCATTTGGATAAAATTCTACTAGAATTTCTAATGATTGTTTTTGATGTTTATAAGAATAAAAATAATTTTCTTGATTAAAATAATTTAAGCCAATTAAATGATGAAATTTTTGAATTTTTGAAAGTGAAATAGGATTTTTTAATTCAGTTATATAATAATCTAATGCTAAATCATATTGTTGTTTTCGATAATTTCTTGAAGCCAATGTTTGTAAATAAATTTCATTTGCTGATGGAGCTATTGTCTTTAATAACATACATACATCACATGCGATTGTTTCATATTTTTCTAATAAATCTATTTGTTGATTTTTTGTATATGCATTAATAAGCATATAAATAATCCATAAAGATTTAATATAATCTGTAGATGGAGATGTTAATTTAAACAGATTTTCAAAATAATCAATTCCTCTACTTTCATGTCCCATAGTTAATAGAAAATAACCATAAACAATATCCGGATAGTTATTAGCAAATCCATCATTTTCTGGAAGGTAAAATTTTCGTAAATTCGTAATATAATCATTGTTTAATAGCTCTAGGGTATTGTCGCCAATCATTGATACAACCCATTTTTTACCATCAAATGCAACATTTTCAATTTTGAATACAGCTCCTAAATCAAACAAAACTTCTTCTTCATCTGGAACCTTGCTCAACTGAGCAATATAAGCAAAAGTTTGTAACATATCAACTTTGATTTCAAACATTACATTTGTGGCAAATAATTCTGCAACTTCTTGTTTTAAACTTGTTGATAAAAAGCCATTGGTTGATATATATTTTCCTCTTGATTGTTTTAATTGTTCAATATCTTGATCGGATAATCTCAAACCGCGATAAACGGATGTAGTTTCAAATACATGATAAAATTCAAGATTTTCATCATAAATTTGTTTTAATTGTTTACAAAGATCGGTAATAAAATATCGTAGTTTAAACAGAGATTCAACATCTTCTGTTCTTAAAGCCTTATTTACAAAGTCAAACGGAAAATGATTTCTTGTATGGCGTCATCCAAATATTCTAAGCAACCAATCTGTGAGGTTTAGTTGATCCCTACCCCCTACCGTAACTAAACTTACTCCTTTGCTTACTTTATTACCATCCGCTTAATTACGTAAGTAACATTAATTTTTCGATGTGTGTTTTCATCAATTTTTCTATGCAAAGAAGTGCAAAAAGGTGAAACTGCCATGGGATGAGAGATAGTACACTGGGACGGAAAATTATATGCCAACCTTTATAGTAGGAAACTTTTATTATTTTTCTAATAAAGTAAGAAACAAAAAAAATAAGCTGAATAGCAGAAAAAACATTTGGTTCCTCTCTTCTTCCTCTATGGGCATGCCGAGATCTATCAAAAGATGTGCCACACTTCCACTTTTTAATAAAAAACAAACCTTTCATTTTTCCAGTTTTCGCTGTATAGCTGATGGAAAGTGTCACTACTGCATCTCTGCGAAGAAAGGTCAAATCGTTGGGAAATTTTTAC